GGAATAGACAACAAATCTGTTTAAGAGGTTTTCCAGGGAACTTTGAAAACCACAGACTTTTCAGCATTTTAAAGGAATGCTACTATTTTGATGCTTCTTTTTCTCAACAACCAAGTCTAAGATTCTCAATACATTTCTTCAGCTTTTAGTTGTCTTACAACTTGGCATTTACACTACGGCATGTCTTGCTTGTCCAAATCACTAAACGTCGCTCCTTTCTCCAAAGGGACTAACGTTACAATCCTGTCAATACCATTATCATCCCATCTCCAAGATGCTATTTTTATGTTGGAAATAGCTGTTCCTTTACAGGGTCTTTTATTTATCCCTCCATCCCCATCCGTCACTTCCCTTTAGTCATTCAATACTCTAGTAATCTTATCCCAAATCTATTTAAACAATGCCCATTACTCCCTTCACTCCACACTCCACAAACTCTCATTACCTTTACTCTGCCCACAATGCAAGATAATTCTATCTTATGGGACCTCACTAACTCCAGTTTGAATATGGCAACTATTTAAACAAGGAGAGATAACTAAAGTCCTACTATGAACTAAGGCTTGCTAAGGAAACTGATATAAGAAAGTTTGTTCCATCCAATAGAGAATTCAAGGCCCCTCAAACACTAGAAAAATTAGTATTTTACTAATTAAAAACTATTTTAGCATTTTTATACAGGCCCACAAAGTTTCTATTGGGTCATTAACTCAACTCTAAAACACTATTACTTTTTCAAAACATTTAATTCATATGTCATGTCCCCATAAATAAGATTTTACTGTAAATTATGTATAGATGTCTGTATTATTACTGTTTATGTATTTAATTTTAAAAAATCCTCAAGATTAGGACAATGTTTACAGCAATTGTCACAGCGCTATGCTCAAGTAGATGAAACTATCAAATTGATGATGAAATATACAGCCTTCTACTCTCACAGAAATTGAACAATTTAAAGATACTGCACAATGCTATGAACTTTTAATACAACTGAAAGTAAATCTAAGTCTAAAGTTATTAAACTCACCAACAGTTGATAACTGGCTGTATAAGTTTCCTGGGATACAATCCAAAATTGATCAAGGGTAGGACCAGAGTGAGGCCCCAGTATATCTAACGCACAACAGATTTAAAAACTAATGGTGGACTGCTTTTCAATATAATACTGGAAGTCCTAGCCAGAGCAATAAGACAAGAGAAAGACATACAAGGAATCCAAATAGGAAAAGAAGAAGTCAAACTATCACTATTTGCAGATGATATGATAATATACATAGAGAACCCCAAAAACACCACAGAAAAACTAATTCAACTAATCAATTAGTTCAGCAAAGTGGCAGGATACAAAATCAACACGCAAAAGTCAGTAGCCTTCCTATACACAAACAATGAATCTGAAGAAGAAATCAAAAAAAACCATCCCTTTTATTATTGAAACAAAAAAAATCAAATATTTGGGAATAAATCTAACAAAAGAGGTAAAAGACCTATACAAAGAAAACTATAAAACACTGTTAAAAGAAATAGAAGAAGACACAAAGAAATGGAAAGACATCCCCTGCTCATGGATTGGAAGAATAAACATTATTAAAATGGCCATCCTACCAAAAGCAATATATAGATATAATGCTATTCCAATCAAAATTTCAATGTCATTCTTCAAAGAAATAGAACAATTATTGATGAAATTCATATGGAATCACAAAAAACCCCGAATAGCCAAAGCTATCCTGAAAAAAAAAGAAGGGAATGGAGGCATCACACTCCCAGACTTCAAACTATACTACAAAGCCATAATCATCAAAACTGCATGGTATTGGAACAAGAACAGACATACAGACCAATGGAATCGAATAGAAAATCCAGAAATAAACCCTCAGATTTATGGTCAACTAATCTTTGACAAAGGAGCAAAGACTATGCATTGGAGCAAAGAAAGTTTGTTCAATAAATGCTTCTGGGAAAACTGGGTTGCTACATGCAAAAGAATGAAGCTTGACCACTACCTCACACCATACACAAAAATCAACTCAAAATGGATTAAAGAACTAGACATAAGACCTGAAACCATAAAATATATAGAAGGAATATAGGCGAAACACTACGTGATTTGCACATCAAAGACATCTTTACAGACACATCACCCAAAGCAGTGATAGTGAAGGCAAAGATAAACAGCTGGGACTACATCAAATTAAAGAGCTTCTGCAGAGCAAAAGAGACAATAACAAAAACAAAGAGAAACCCCACCAACTGGGAGAACATTTTTGCACCCAACACTAATGATAAAGGACTGATCACAAAAATCTGCAAAGAGCTGAGACTCAACACAAAGAAAATAATCCTGTCAAAAAATGGGCAGAAGAGCTAAAAAGAAACTTCTCTGAAGAGGAAATGCAAATGGCCAACAGGCATATGAAAAAATGTTCAACATCACTTGTAATCAGGGAAATGCAAATCAAAACTACCATGAGATACCATCTTACACCAGTGAGAATGGCGCATATTAAAAAAACTAGCAACAACAAATGTTGGGGAGGGTGTGGAGAAAAAGGAACTCTTCTGCACTGTTGGTGGGAGTGCAAACTGGTCCAACCACTATGGAGAGCTGTGTGGAGATTTCTGGACCTACTAAACATAGAGCTTCCACAGGATCCAGCAATTCCACTCCTAGGTATTTACCCAAAGGACACAGAAACATCAATTCCAAAGAGCACCTGCACCCCTATGTTTATAGCAGCACTATTTACAATAGCTAAGCTTTGGAAACAGCCCAAATGCCCACAAATAGATGACTGGATCAAGAAGATGTGGTACATATAAACCATGGAATATTACTCAGCATTCAAAAAAGATAAACACATGCAATTTGCAGCAACATGGATGGCACTGGAAGGGATCATGCTCAGCGAAATAAGCCAAAAAGAAAAATACCGGATGGTCTCACTCATAGCAGGAATCTAGAAAACTTAAATAAGGGACCAGGAAAATGAATAACTATAAGAAAGTGAAAATCAAAATCAACAAAAAACTATGAACCAGAGACTCTTTTTGGGGGCGGGGGCGGGAGGGGAGGGATTGGGGTCAGAATGGGGGGGTTGCAATTGTATGGGGAATATAAAAATAAAATTTATTATTAAAAAAAAAAAATAAAAATAAAAACTAATGGTGGGCCTCCCTGGTGGCGCAGCGGTGGAACGCTGGGTTGTGAAGCTGCCTGCAGCCTCTGCAGCATCGGTTCGATCCCCAGCAGCCGGGTGAGGGACCCACATGGTGCACAGACCTTTCCTGCCGCCGCTGCTCCCCTCAGCAGTGTACTTCATCACTCTGCCTGTTCTACTCTCTGCTCTGGCTCTGGTGAATTCTCTCACCCTCCCGCGCTTCTAACTGTATCCAGTGCTTGTATAAATAAATAAATAAATAAATAAATCTTAAAAAAAAAAAAAAAAAAACTAATGGCACACAGACATGTCTGTTTTAAAATTGATCGGATGCAGCACAATTGGCACAAGCCAATTTAAAAATATGCAAGAGAAAAAGACCCAACTCAATGGTTTTTCATCCAGTCACTGACACTAACGCTTTATACAGGACTACACAAAATGTGAAGCAGTATGAAAAGCAGGTCACTCATTCACTCAGTATAGCAATTGAGTGCTCTACCACCTCATTTCCCTGGTTCATCAGTTAGCTTCTAAACTGATAAATTGTTAACTTTTCAAATATTGTAAGTGCTTCTTTCAAAATCACAAAGCCTCAAACATTGGTAATATCCATACATGTATATATTGCTAGAACTATATGTAAAATACACAGGTAATTTCTATTCTAAGTGGAAGGATGAGAGAGACAAGTGATTAAATGATAGTTCTGAATCAATAAAGGGTTGCAATTCATCATCTGAAAGACAGATTTCAGACCAATACTTAACTTCAATTGAAAAAATACATGTCTAAAGATGAAATTTCATCATCTCAATTAAATCTGGGGTCTCCCCAGTGCCTCAGCGGTTGAGCGATGGGTTGCGAAGCTGCCCGCAGCCTCTGCAGCGCCAGTTAGATCCCGGGCCGCTGGGCAAGGGTCCCACCTGGCTCACAGACCTCTCCTGCCATGCCCGCTGCTCCCCTCAAGCAGTGTACTTTGTCAGTCTGCCTGTTCTGTTCCCCTCTCTGGCTCTAGTGAATTCTCTCTCACTCTCCCACGCTTCTGACTGGGTACAGTGCTTGTATAAATAAATAAATCTTTTAATAAATTTTTAAAAAAGCCATTCATCAATTAAATCTATTATCCCCTATCATTTATATTATTCCCTCCAAGAAATCTTAATAACTCTCCACAATACGACCCCAAAGAACTTCTTCGAACACTGTGTTACTATTGATGGCTTCCACGAAAGGATCTAGAACAAGTCCACCAAACTCTCGTCTCACAAAGTCTCACTGTCAAACAGTGACTATACTTTCTCTTACAGAGTGCAAAAAATCCAAGATAACAGATTATGTAGACCAGTCAGTATATAACCAAACAAATTGGGTATAAGAATCAATAACAGGGGCCTCCCTGGTGGCGCAGCCTATGAAGCAGTCCGCAGCCTCGCCAGCTCCCCGGCAGGCCAGGGAGCAATACACATGGTACAGCAGACCTTTCCTGCCTCACTCGCTGCTCCCCTTAGCAGTGTGCTTCGTTCAGTCTGCCTGTTCTGTTCCCCACTCTGTCTCTGGTGAATCCTCTCACCCTTTGCATCTCCGGCCTGTACCCCAGCTCTTTTATGCATAAATAAATACTTAAAAAAAAAAAAAAAAGAGTAACACAAGGATGCCTGTTTTAGTCACAAGTAACAGGAGGAAAAACAGAGGGTCTATGGTCATAGCACAGATGTACACTAAAAATGATAAAACTATTTTTACATATATTTCTCTTGATTATAACAACTCAGGCTTCACATAGGTAAGAATCACAAAGAGCAGCATTATTCATTAAACAATTTAATTCCCAAGCTAGTGATTTTAGGTAAATACTTATACATTAGAACCTTCTAAGAAAACTGCTAATAAACAACATCATGCCAAAAATTGCACATAGTGTTTTTAGTCAGAATTGAAAGCCAAGATAAGCAATTCCTTTGTTATTATTTTTGATCAAGGCTTAAGAATTCACAAAGACAAATAGCTTTTATACCCAACCTAAAAATAAGATGGTTCATAAATTTTCTGAACTGATATTCTCTGCTCTGGACAATCCTTTATTTTGACTGTAAACTTTAGCAAACCTTGGCGTGCTTTAATATTAGTGTTGTAAATTTCTGAAAACCTCTATAAATTTAGCATTTTTTCTGAAATTTGGATAGTTTTTTTATCCTGCATGCTTAAATATTAAGGTCACAAATTGAAGTATCAGTAGAAAAATATAAATCCTTAGGGCAAGAAATGACAAGAAAATTTAAGGAGTCAGAGCATAAAAACTTAGCATATTTTCCTAAATTTTAGTGGTTCCAACTATAGGAAAACCAAACTGCTATATGGGCTTGAAATGATTTAAGCTAACAATTTTTCCCAATTCTTGACACTAATAGATTTATAGTTTTATTATAGTAACAAATAGTTGTTTCAGTGAGATCTACACACATATACAGATTATATTTAAATTCATATAGAACAATATTTACATATTTAAGTTATACTTTTGAAATTAGAAGATGAAGTAGTTAAGTTTTACAACAAAGAAAAGAAAAATACACAAGACAAAAATAGAGTTAACAGTAAAAATGTAACTGTCTGCTCTTGATACAACATGTGGAAACTCTTTGTCAGAAAACTATATCTTCTTAATCTGATTGTCCAAATCATTAAAATATGGATGATTCAGGGCCATTTTGCCAGAAATTCGTTTGGCTGGATCATAGACTAACATTTTCTGGAGGGAAAAGACAAAAAGAGGGTTTTAATTTATTTAAGAAGTGAAACAAAAATTTTTTAAATCTTACCTTTTTTACCAATCATAAGTTAATAATCCTAATGAAAACCATAACTATCTCATCCTCACCCAATAAAAAACCAAATCAACAAGCAGACTAGATACATTTAATATTCAGTTGCCATGTGAACACTTACTATGTAGCACTATATTAAGTGCTTTGAACTTATTACTTATCTCTCACAATAAAAGACAGGTATTAATCCCAATTTACAAGTGAAAACACTGAGGCTCAAAAAGATTAATAACTTGCTCAAGTTCACAGAGTTAAGGAGTGGTAAGGCTAAAATATGAAACAAGATTTATGATTTACAGAAGTGGTTCTCAACTGGGCGAGATTTTTCCACTGAGGGACAATTAAGCAGTATCTGGGACTTTTGAGTTGTCACAATTGGGTGGAATGTGATATGAGGCTCTCTAAGGTAGAGGAATGAGATGCAATTAAGTGTCTCTTAATGTACAAGACAGTCTCCTGAAAGATCCAGTCCAGATGTCAATAGTAACTATACTAACAAACTCTAACTTAACAGTATTTGACCTTTGTCTCCTTAACTGAAGTGAACTTCTTTGTTTGAGTATAACAGGAGTCAAAAGACAGATTGTGCTCATAAATTGAAAGACCTTTTAAGTCTTACCAACAATATTTATATATAAAACTACCTGAATGGCAACTGGCAGACTGTAAACTAACTGGCAGATAAGGACTTTGGAGCACACAGTAAGCAGCTGAAAAATCTGAGCTGAATTAGGTGGCATAATGACTTATAAACTGAACATCCAGTAAGATCTACATAATGATAATAGCAATAGACTTTGTTTTCTTCGTTTAGTAACATGAGAAATCCTTTTCCCCCCCTGGAATCACATCATGTGAGTCATCAAAATCAGTTCTCTTTTAGAACTCTCCTGCACTGTTGGTGGGAGTGCAAACTGGTCCAACCACTATGGAGAGCTGTGTGGAGATTTCTGGACCTACTAAACATAGAGCTTCCACAGGATCCAGCAATTCCACTCCTAGGTATTTACCCAAAGGACACAGAAACATCAATTCCAAAGAGCACCTGCACCCCTATGTTTATAGCAGCACTATTTACAATAGCTAAGCTTTGGAAACATCCCAAATGCCCAAAAATAGATGACTGGATCAAGAAGATGTGGTACATATAAACCATGGAATATTACTCAGCATTCAAAAAAGATAAACACATGCAATTTGCAGCAACATGGATGGCACTGGAAGGGATCATGCTCAGCGAAATAAGCCAAAAAGAAAAATACCGGATGGTCTCACTCATAGCAGGAATCTAAATCACTTAAATAAGGGACCAGGAAAATGAATAACTATAAGAAAGTGAAAATCAAAATCAACAAAAAACTATGAACCAGAGACTCTTTTTGGGGGGCGGGAGGGGAGGGATTGGGGTCAGAATGGGGGGGTTGCAATTGTATGGGGAATATAAAAATAAAATTTATTATTAAAAAAAAAAAATCAGTTCTCTTTTAAAAGCTCAATTTTTAAATACCGTTGCAAAAAAAAACAAAAAAAAAACTTCCTAAAGCAGCTCTAAGACTATTTTTATCCTTATGGGTTTGGGGATTTTTTTTTTTTTTTGGGGGGGGGTTGTCTTATTTTTGAAGAAATAGTTGGGAACAGCAATAAAAAGAAAGGGAATTTTAAGAACTATACCAGCCTTTCTTCTTGTGATGTAGAGAGAAAGGCGAAAAATGAGAGTTCATTTCACGCAGTAAAAGGATTTAGTCACCAAAAACATCAAACAATAAAGAAAACAGCTATGTCTAGGAAGAACTACAGAGATAAAAATGCCAGAAAGAAAGGTCACTACAAGTCAGCAACTGAAAATAACAACAAAGTTATATTAACCCTGGTCTCTCTTTCAGAATATCTATAGCTATCAGATTAAAACCAAAACAAAACTAATGCTAAATTTTCCTCTCACAAATCACTGATGTTTCTTGGTTTTATTAAAATTAATGGAACTAGTCATACATTAAACATAAGAGACATAACAGTCATGAGTCTTGCTTGATAAACATTGTCTTTTCTTCCCTATTCTAGTAAAAAAAAGTTAATTATGTTCAGAATCATCAGTAATGTCAGTTAGTAAGAAGGGCATCCCTTACCGAGAGCAGATCCAACCCATTTTCATCCAAGTTTTTGACATGGGATGCTAGGCTTCCTGGTTTCCATTTAGGGAACGTATTCTTGTAGTCTTGTAAAGATTCCACTTCTGGCCACACTTCATTATTGGGCGTGCCCAAAGCTCTAAAATTCATTAAAAAATTGAAAATTGTTAAAATATAAAAATAATCTTGCTACGGGTCTCCCCTGGTGGCACAGCTGTTGAGAGCTGGGCTGCAAAGCTGCCTGCAGCCTCTGCAGCACCGGTTCAATTCCTGGCCACAGGGCGAGGGTCCCACAGGGCGCGCAGACCCCTCCTGCCACGCCCGCTGCTCCCCTCAGCAGTGTACTTCGTCAGTCCACCTGTTCTGTTCCCCACTCTAGCTCTGGTGAATCCTCTCACCCTCCCACGCTTCTGACTGTACCTAGTGCTTGCATAAATAAAGAAACATATAAATAAATATTTAAAAAATCTTGTTACATACAGACCCATTATTATTTAACTTGAAAGTCCTTAATGTTTAAATATAAAACAAAAAATACCTGAAAATTCTGAAGAGTTGATCAATTTCTGAATCCCCGTGGAAAAGTGGCTTCTTAGTTGCTAATTCTGCAAATATGGTGCCTATGCTCCAAATATCAACTGGAGTTGAATAGCGAGCTGACCCCAGCAGTACTTCTGGAGATCTATACCAGAGTGTCACTACCTAATACAAAGCAAATTTTCACAAGGAGTAAGTGTGACACATTAATACTTTTATTTCATTAGCACTGTTGTGCAAAAGGTTTTTATATTTTTATTATCAGGTTGCCTCTGATATTACTATTTAAACATCAACTATACACAAAATATCAAATGGAAGATAAATATTTCATTTTTAAGTTCTATTCATATGAGGGGAGGACCAGATAAGTAAACCAAGTATTTTCTTGCTGTTGAAACAATTAAAGTGAAAGGCTTAGAACCCAAATTCAGATAGCCTTTACTTAAAAATAAAGCACATTGATAAGGGCAGTGAGTGTGTTTGTTTTTGTCTGACATACACAAAATACACGTACTGCTTAAATGCTAAAGACTGCAATGAATAAATCATTTAAGTCTATTAGTAGTGGTCCAGAGATAATTTATTTTAGTATATAATTTATCACACAATAAAACGTAACATTTAATATAAAGTCAATAGCATCTGTTTTAGACAATGGGTAACAAGTAATCTTTATTTAATAACAAATATATATAATTTTAATTTCCTCTAGACAATATATGATTAGCTCATTATCTTTTCTTAAAAATTTTTTTTTGTAAGAAGAACTAGGGTGTAGGCCAGAGGTACAGGGGGGGGTGATAAGTTCACCAGAAACAGAGTGGGGAGCAGAACGGATGGATCTGCTGAAATATACTGCTAAGGGGAACAGCAGGCAAGACAGGAGAGGTCTACTGTGCCATGTGGGTTGGCTCCCTGGCTGGGGATCGAACTCAGGCTGCAGCGGTAACAGCACTGAGACTTAACCCCATCAGGGAGGCCCCAAATATATTTATTACTTAATAAACAATTTTAAAAAGCCAACACATTTAACCAAATGAGCATGGTTGTAAATTTTGATCTGGAGACAGTCTGGGTGTAAGGGTAAATAATGCCACATAAAACACAATAATCCTTTACTACACAATTCAACATTCCCTTTCCTTCCAGAAATACCAATGAAATGCAAAATAATAAATATAACAATGATAACACATGATTATATTTAGTGCTTTCTAAATGAATATGAATCAGTATATCTTAAACAACAAAATCTGTCTTTTAACCAATTTGTGTATCAGAGAGGATCCAAAGAGGATACAGAAACCGTAGTGCTTTAAATGGGGATATTTTCATATTAAGAAATATTTAGCTATTTAACAGGGAATTGGAATGAGATCGATTAATAAGAAACAATGAAAACTAAATGCCTCTCTAGCATCTTCTACTGACAAAGCTTTATATCACATAAGATGGCAAAGGAAAAGTATCTAAAGGTTCCAGTTCCATTTTCAAATAGCAAGCAATTAAGGGTGAATTTAAAGCTCAGATGCGGGCTTCCCTGGTGGTACAGCGGTTGAGCGCTGGGTTGCAAAGCTGCCCGCAGCCTCTACAGCGCCAGTTAGATCCCCGGCTGCTCCCTGGCCACTGGAGGAGGGTCCCGCATGGCGCGCAGACCTCTCCTGCTGCCCGCTGCTCCCCTCAGCAGTGTACTTTGGTCCTTCTGCCTCTTCTGCTATCAGCTCTGGCTCTGGTGAATTCTCTCACCCTCCCGCGCTTCTGACTGTACCCAGTGCTTGTATAAATAAATAAATCTTTTTTAAAAAAAATAAAGCTGAGATGCAGTAAGCTGAAACTGGCACAGAATGGAATTATTTTTGAGTTATTTTTCCCTTGACTTGAAGAATAAATACAGAAGGCAATCCAGCATATTCAAAAGCACTAAAAAAAATTATTATACATACCTCATGTGTATACACTCTAATAGGTATTCCAAAAGCTCTGGCAAGGCCAAAATCAGCCAATTTAATTGTTCCTTTGTCATCAATCAATAGATTTTGAGGTTTAAGTCTCTGTGTAGAACTCTTCTAGAGTGACAAAACACAATCCCTTGTAGGATTTGGTACAAATAACTCTGGAAGAAGGAAATATGTTAGAAAAGTAACCATAGCATATAATGATTTTCTAAGTATTTGTGATAGATTTGCTTCAAAAATATAAGAAATGATGATGCAGGGAAATGTTTAACTATCAGGACACTTGAGAACACCAAGAAGCATTTGGGGGCAGGAAATTCCATTTACACACACCATCATGTTTTTATACCTAAAACAAAGGTAATCATTTACCTTATGTAAACTTCTATATTCAAAAGAATACACTTATTTTGGGGGGCCATGATTAACTCACAATTTAGCTTACTATACATAAACTTTCTTAAATTTGTATGTATGTATTTAGAACAATTTCTAATTTCTACCTTGAGTAAGGTTGGTCTTTTTCATCTCTGCCTTTTATGTTTACATATGTATTTCCTCTTTGGAAACATTGGTCACAGATTTCAAAGAAATGACTAACAAGATATTAGTTGTTTATATGTTCAGAAAAGTATTTTACAAAGCACTTATTGCCAAGACAATGTAATGAAGCAAAAAAGATATTACAAAAATAGTTAACAGAATTAACATACAAAGTTCAAAGTTATAAAACACATTAAAAAAACAAACAAACTACCTATTGGAACTGGTTAGCTATTTAGGGAAAACATTAACCACAGTTCTTACACCAAAATTATCTGGTCCATCCTGAATCTAAGAGACAAAAAGGCCAAGGAAGGGATAACCAACTAAAACTATTCCAAAAAATACTGTCATGTATTATCTAAAACATATGATCTTTGAGTTAGGAATAAAGAAACAAGACCTAAAAATCAAAATGCCTTCTCACATAATAGATTGCTAAGATATTTAAAAGATTATTAGAGGGCAACTAGCCCTATCAAGATTTTAAAAGTAAACAAACATCTCCAACCCATGAAAATTCCAGCTATAAGAATTTATTCTAAAAATTAGCATATGAAGGTAAACCTATGTCACTGCAATATCTTTCTTAAAAGAATGACCCACCAAGCACAAAAACAACTAAATGTTCATCAATATGGAACTGGTTTAAAGAAGTTCATCAAAAATTTAGACAAATAGGTAGACCTACTTGTCCAAGTTTTAAAGAGAAAAAGAGAAAGGGGTATACACACACACATATACCTAACACACACATTCAGAAATAATTCTTTTTTATAAAATATGTTCACAAATGGACACAGCCAACAAAAAAGCACTTGTAAGACCGCTAATCAACTAACAACTACCTCTGAGGAGTGGGTTGGGAAAGTTCCCAACACACAGTACATTCTTAAAAACAGTCCATGAGCAATTGAAATAACATCTAGTAATAAAATGACTGACTGTGATATGAAAAGAAATATTCTTCCTTGTTCTATTTTCCAACTTCTTTTCCCAAACTTATTTCCATAAAACATAGGGACTTCAACAGAGTAGATCCATAATAGTCACAGTGGAAAAACATTAATGGAATTAGATATGTTTCTTACCTTAACAAGTGAAGAATCCATGAACTGACCAGGAGGGATAGAATCCAAGTATTTTTGAGATCCATGGAAAGAAATTCAAAGATGAGATATAACCTGGAGTCCTGCATAAGCACATCTTGAAGACTGAAGAAAACAATTACATGAAAAACAAAATAATCTAGCAAAGATTTTTTTTCCTACGCCTCTCTCACAAAAAGAAACTACTTCCATTTTCACAGCAATTATCACAAAAAGTGGGTTATAAAAATTTTTCTATAAAAATTACATGCTGTTTTTGGGAAAGAAGACATGGTAGCTTCCCCAGTTGTCAAAATCTTAGTATACTAAACTAAAATTTGAGAAAGGAATCTCAAGGCAGCAACTGACACTTAAGTCACATTATACATGAGCTAATAACTGTCAAACCACTTTTTATTCCAAAAGAACACTTCTTCCCCTTTATTTATTTTATATACTTTTTACATCATTTTTCATTTTTGCGCAGTGTATGCATTTTCATCTTGGTTATATTCCCCATACAATTCCCACCTCCCTTATTTTGGCCCTAATCCCTCCCCCCTACCACCCCCCATCCCCGTAGTATGCCTCAGGTCTATAGTTGCTTGTTTACTTTTATTTTTACTTTATTATAATTAATCGTTTCCCTGGTCCCTTATTTAGGTTTTCTAAATTCCTGCTATGAGTGAGACCATCCAGTATTTTCTTTTTCTTCATGTTTATTTAGCTGAGCATGATCCCTTCCAGCTCCATCTATGTTGCTGCAAATTGCATGAGTTTATCTTTTTTGATTGCTGAGTAATATTCCATTGTGTATATGTACCACATCTTCTTGATCCAGTCATCTGTTTTTGGGCATTTGGGTTGTTTCCAAAGCTTAGCTATTATAAATAGCGCTGTTATAAACATAGGGGTGCAGGTGCTCTTTGAAATTAATGTTTCTGTGCCCCCAAAAAGAACATTTTTAAAGTTGACTGCCTGTTGTTCAGAACTTGTCTTTCCATTGAGATAAATTATAAAAAAGTATTAGCTGATCTTAATAGTTACTCATTATCTTCAGCACCAGAAAAATACAACGAAATCCTATCTTTGACTGTGTAAGGAAGACAACCTCTCGGTTCAAATGAAAAGAAAGAAAAACTTTCTCATCTGTGCCAACTACCTATCTTAGGACTAGAAGGGGCCCTTAAGGAAGTGGGAGTTACAAAGCTC